TTTCAATCATGATTATTTTTAGGATTATTATGACCACTTACTGAGTAGCCAAACTCATCAAACTATGGTAAACACATTTTTCAGGATAACTGCGGATTCATTTTGAGTGCTAGTCAAGATCAACCTTGAAAGATACTGTTGTTGTGCTAGCTTTCTTTATTTACTTTGTAAGACCTCGCCACTGTAAATTTGTCATATCAATAGATGTATATATGTTTTGTCTGTCACATCTCAGGAATAACAGTATTGTAAATTCTTGGGGTGTGACATGCAGTCACAGTTGTAGCTATTGTTCCATAAAAATAAACGGATAGCTATTATTCCAAAAAAAATAAACTAATAATAAACGGATTTGGGTCCATCTTCACAATATAGCTATGGTTTATTTTCAAATATCCAAGATTTATTTTTTTGGATCTGCAACCACAATTATAGCTATTGTTCCGAAAAAATAAACAAATAATAAACGAATTTGTATTCTCTTACACCTATTGTTCCAAAACATTTTATTTTTTTGTTCTGCAGCCACTTTAGTTGTAGCTATTAGTACAAAAAAATAAAGGATAATAAACGAATTTGGGGTCTTTTATAGCAATTGTTCCAAAAAAATAAAGGGATAATAAACGAATTTCAGTTCTCTCTTAAGATCGATATTTTGGGTTCTCTACTAAAATTGATATCCAAGATTTATTTTTTTAGTTCTGCAACCACAGTTGTAACTATTGTTCTAATTCCAAAAAAAAAATAAACAGATTTAGATTCATCTATTTATTGGTTTTCTTTTTTCTTTTTTTGTGCTATTGTTTACTGATAAATTCTAAATACTTGAGTTCACTTATAGAAAAATACTGGAGTTAGAATCATCAAATTCGAAATACTTGAGTGAATATCAATCCACTTCACAATATGCGTTTAAAAAATCTAATGTCTAACTCTTTCAATTCATAAGTTTCTTATTATGATTTTTATTCGAATTTCATATTGTAATTGTATTGCTTTCACAAATTTGGACATTTCGTTTCAATATAAATCCCGGGATATATTGAGAAAATGTAAGAATCCTCACAGAGAAATGCTTGAGTTTACTCACAAAGAATCGTCAAATTCTAAGTTTCTCATTATGATTTTTATTCAGAATTTCATATTGTAATTGTATTAATTTCAAAAAATTTGGACATTTCGTTTCAATATAAATCTCGAGATATATTGAGAATTCTAGGTTTCTTATTACGATTTTTATTCGGAATTTCATATTGTAATTGTATTGATTTCACAAATTCGGACATTTTGTTTCAATATAAAAATCGGGATATATTGAGAAAATGTAGGAATACTCAAAGAGAAATACTTGCCGGGATATATTGAGAAAATGTAGGAATACTCATAGAGAAATACTTGCTGGGATATATTGAGAAAAGGTAGGAATACTCAGAGAGAATTATTTGCCAGGATATACTGAGAAAATGTAGGAATACTCACACAAAAATACTTGATTTTACTCATTGAGAAAATGTAGGAATACTCACAAAGAAATACTTGATTTCACTCACAAAGAATCGTCAAATTCATAGAGAATTGTCAAATTGATTTCATTTATAGAGAATTGTCAAATTGATTTCACTTACATAGAATCGTCAAATTCAAAATACTTGAGTTCACTCACATAGAAATACTTTTCAAAATACTACATTTTTCGAAATACTTGAATCCACTCACATTACTTGATTTTACTCACAGAGAATCGTCAAATTCGTAGAGAATCGTCAAATTCAAAATACTTGAGTTCTTACTAATAGAAAATCGTCAAATTTAAAATACTTGAATTCACTCACAAAAAAATTCACTCAAAGAGAAATATCTTTCGAAATACTTAAGTTCACTCACAGAGAAATTGAAATACTTGAGTTCACCCATAAATAATCGTCAAATCAATGTGCTAACTTTTTTAAATTAATTTCGTGAAATTGAAAATTAAAATTCTTGAGTTCACTCACAAATAATCGTTCGTCAAATCAGTGTACTAACTTTTTAAAATTAATTTCGTAAAAAATTAAAATACTTAAGTTCAGTCACAAATAATCATTTGTCAAATCAAATCAGAGTGCTAACTTTTTTAAATTAATTTAATTCATCAATCAGTGTACTTGCATTGTTTTTTTCTCAAAACTTTTTAAAATTAATTTAATTCTTCAATCTCCTCCAATACCCCAACATAATTTTTTCCTCTCCCAATATAATTTCTACTCCAATACATTTACATAATTCCCTACATCTCATAATTTCTCTTCCAATACATTTACATAACTTCTCCTCCAATACATTTACATAACTTCTCCTCCAGTACATTTCATTTCATTTAATCCTACTTGCCAAATTTCTCTCAACTTTTTATTTCTTCGCCAAATTTCATCAAACTTTTTTTTTTGTTCTTTTAAATTTGCCAACCTGCCAAATTTCTTTAAATTTGGCCATAAAACAAGAAATTTAACTATAGAAGTTTTTTAAAGTTACTAGCCAAATTTCTCCAATTTTTTTTTTCTTTTGAATTTGCATATAGAAGTTTTTTTTTTGAGAGAGATGATCGAAATGCTTTATTGAAAGATGTTATTCCAAAATGGACACAAAACCATACAAAATGATGTTATTCCAAAATGGACACAAAACCATACAAAATGATGTTATTCCAAAATGTTAACATCTTGAAAGCACATCAAAACGCAAAGGCATACAAAAAATGTGACTAATTCTTATACCTGATGCATAAGTTTATGCTGGATTGTATGGTCAACCATGTTTTGAATATAAAGCCAAAAAAGTGAAACAAAATGTTACTAATGCATTTCTCATATTTCTTCTAAAAATAAAAAGAACAGTAACAATATATTTCCCACACAGAAAATATATTTCCAGATATCCAAACCGCCACAAGGAAATGTGTTACACCGTAATGTATCTCATAGAGTATAGATGTCCCGAGTCTATTTCCCTAACTACTGCAAATCACACTCTTACCAGTTTCTCTTAAAACAAAAAGATAAAAAAAAGGTTCTTTGATGAATGAAAGAGGGGGGAGAGATTCATGGCTATATCCAATCTTTCACCCTCTTTTGTCGGCGAAATCATCAGGCTGATCGTCATCCATGATATTACCCTCCAAAGGGTCATTGCCAAACTGCTTCCCACCAATTGGAGCCGAATTATAACCATCCTCGTCAACAGACTGGCCACCACCAAATCCACTGCCAACACCACCACTTCCACCATAACCTCCGCTAACTCCACTGCTAAAACCATCGCCACCACTAGCAGCAACACCATAGCTTCCACCACCACTAGGGGCAGCACCATAGTTCCCACCACTACTACCATAGCTTCCACCTCCACCTCCACCTCCACCTCCACTTCCATAGCTGCTTCCATAGCTGCCCCCAGTAGCTCCACTACCTCCTCCGCTATAACTAGAGTCACTGTTACCCCCATAGCCGCCACCCCCACTTCCACCATAGCCACCACCTCCAGTACCACCATAACCACCACCTCCACTACCATAACTATCAGTGCTACCACCACCTCCACTAGCACCATAGCCACCACCTCCACTACCATAGCTATCGTTGCCATAACCTCCACCACCACTACCACCATAGCCAGCACCACCCCCATAACCACCACCACCATAGCCTCCGCCACCACCACCATAGCCGCCTCGGAATCCTCCCGTGCGGTCGGTTGCATAGTTCACACGAATCATTCGGCCATGAAGATCCTAGAGGGAAAAAAGACCATTTAGCAACATCTTTCAATTATAAATGACTCTAATAGTTTGACAAACTTCCTATTTTAGAGAGAGAGCAATCACGACATGATACATGGTTCTCCCACAAAATATTTTAGAATTACAAGGGCTTGTAGAAGCCTTATTTTGTCTAGCGAATGGAACAGGAGTTTAGGTAAAACAAAAAAACATTGGTAGGGTATTAAAACAACATGAAACATGGTTCTCCCGCAAAATATTTTAGAATTACAAGGGCTTGTGCAAGCCTTAATTTGTCTAGCTAATGGAACAGGAGTTTAGGTATAACTTGGTAGAGTATCAAAATTAATGCTTTGGAGCTCAAAGAAATAATACCTTTCCATCCATGCCAGAAATGGCTGTGGAAGCTTCCTCACTAGATGTGAAGCTGACAAAGCCGAAGCCTCTGGATCTACCAGTTTCACGGTCCATGATTACTCTAGCTGAAACAATTTTTAACATGATTGAAGTTATAGTCCTAAACCATTCCAAACAAGCACAGAGCAAGAGAGGGAGGAGAAGTGCATGTGCATACCTTCAATAACTTCTCCATAGCTAGCAAATGCTTCTCTGAGACTTCCATCATCAGTGCCGTAGGAGAGTCCTGAAATAAATTTTGGAAATTAGTATGAGATAGGGATAAGCAAAAACCTGCCATTTAAAATTAATGGAAAAGAAAAAGCCGCACCTCCAACAAAGAGTTTAGAAGATGACATGCTACGTATGGCTTGGAAGATTGATGGGTTGGATGAGCCAATATTCTTGTTTACAGTTTGTCTCACTAAAGACCCAACTCTACTTGCGAAAGCCATAATTGGATACCTGATTACAGAAATCGAATAAGACTAATGTCACACACAGTGCAGTTGCTTGCTCTAATAGCTACAAGGGTCTTTTCAATTTCTGCCTTACAATACATAGAATTACCATAACTAAATGTACAGATAGCTGGTAAGAACAGAAATCAGAACCATGCAACATCATAATGGAATACAACATCAAGCTTATCGGATTTTTTCTTCACATCTCTGAAAGGAGTCATTTTCTTCGTGTTTTTTCCAATCAACCTCAAAAAGCAGTGAGTCAGTAATGTCAATATAGTCATTTATCAAATCCTTGCTATCAAACGAACCCCAAATTCTTGCAGAGATATAAGAAACTGGGCACTAAATGCTCGCATGCTTGAAAAGGGGGGAGAAAGGTATATCAATCCTTCCACAAAGATTAAATTCCAGACAAACTTATCTAAACATTTTAATCACCCAGAAATAATATCCCCTCACAAAAAAGTCAAGAAATAATATAAAGATGTCCCTGCACTATTACCAAGGACCCACAATTATAGTCAAGCTCTTGTACAATCCAATCCTTCAACAAAATAAACCAAATTAAGATGCAAATACGTACAACTCTCAACAGGTCAACATGTACACACAGGGATTCAATATAGAGAAATACACAAAAAGGCTAATATTTAAACAATTACGGCATATAAAAAGTCAGGGCCTCAGATAAAAATTAACAATATGTGATTAATATATTAAAACGTACATTCTCCAATTACAGGATTGCATTATGCACCCAACATCGAAGCGCTTTACAGAAAAACACATGTATACAAGCACTGCGATCCATCACTTTAAAATTAACTTACAAAATCTGTATTGTTAACAAGCTCTCTACTACGACTAGCAAAAAATTAAAATGCAAGAAATCAACTATCATCGAAAAATTACAACCAAATTATGTGCTGAGAGCAAAATACCAGTTGCATCATGCAAAAGCATTGCACTAGATCAATATAACAAATTCTAAAAGGTTGCAAAACACATAAAAGACTTAACAAAGAAAAATGGCATCATGACCAGAGGACTTTGGACCATCTATGAGATCAATCTGTATACCCAAGTCCCTGAACACTAGCTCGAATTATGACTATACCAAAACAATAGTTGAGATGAAAAGTGATAATATATTTAACATACTTGCACATCCTGACTGTCAATTAAAATCCACAGCACCCACTACTTTGTATCTTAATCTCCATTTGAGAACCCATCAAAGTCATGAGTTCAAAGATTTCCACTTCAAATATTACTTAATACCTGATTATCTCCACTATTAGTCCTTATTTTCTCTATCTTCAAATTTATCCAAAAGATGAATCCAATTATAAGAGTCAGAAAATATTTAATTACTGCATAAAAGATGTAAAAATATTTAATTACTACAGAAGAGCTAATGAAAATATTTCTGCTCCAAAATGGTCATTTGGTCCATTAGGTCTAGACTCTAGAGAAAGAGAATTTCCCTAAAGAATCTCCAATATGTACTTAAATCAATCACCTCTTTATTCAGTTAGTTTTGCATGTTGGAAGTCCAAACCCTAAACCCCAAATATGAGATGAATAGCTACAATGCTCACAAGAACTGAATAGAAAGTAACCAACTCAAGGACAAACACCCACAATTTGGTTAACAAAAAATGTTTCATGTATGAAAGACATTATCAGAATAAAATATAAAAAATTACTACAAATGCATCAATTGACTGAGAGTGTCCCACAAATAACTACTCAAAACCTAAATAGTTGAAACCTAGTCTTCTAACCAAATCCAAAGGCACATGACAACAAATCACTTCAGAAACTTCAGAAAGGAAAAAGATAAAACAACATGATATTTCAATTATCAAGCAAATGCTGCCATAGAAGCCACAACAGCAAGCCCAAACAACTCATCAAATAGAAGAAAAGAAATACCAGTTATTATAAGGTCATCAAGAGAAAAATGCGGATTTAATCATCACAAAAATGGAAATAAACCATAATATATCACCAACTCCAAAAGCCATAATAACAGAGCAACATCAAAATTAAAAAAAGGTCACACAAAATAAAACCAAGTACATAAAAATTTATCCATTAGAAGCCATGATCCATCAAAATAGAGAACTAAACCCTGAGAAATGAGACACTCCAATATAGAATACCAAAAAGTAAGAGGCTTCTCAGGCATCCATGGACAAAACTATAAGTTCTAGGGTTACCGAAAGCAGGTTTTACTATTAAATCAACGATCAGAGAGTTACAGCGATCAACAGAGATATCAAATACATAGGGAGGGTGAGTGGAACTGGGGTTCTGGTTGAGGTTTTAGACCACAAATGCATAGGCTAAGAGAGGTACAGATATGGCAGTGAGAAGGATGAAGAGAGAGAGAAACAGAGATACCAGGGTTTTGAAGAATTAGGGTTTGAGAGAGAAACTCACCGTTTCGAGAAACTGCAGAAGGAAATAGGAAAACCCTGGCTAAGGCCTGAGTGAGACTAGGGGTTTAAGACAAGTTTGGGGTGTTATTTATCTTAGCATCGGGTGAATCTCGTCCGTTGGGGTTTGGGTGAGAGCGATATTAGCCGTTGGATTCGGAGAGGAGAATCTAGCTGGGCCTTGGGTATTATCTAAGGAAATTGTAGCTGACATACCTTATTTTAAGTTTAAGCCCCAAACTTTCGTTTATCTGGATTACAAATTTTTTTTTTTTTTTTTTACCAAAATGACATTCACCGTATTCATATTATTATAATAGTTAGTGCATGTTATACGGTACTTTTAAGTACTATAATACTTAGAGAATTTTATAAGGTATTTTAAATATCTTAATACTGATAGCAATTTATACTGTACAAGTACAGTAAACTTACATGAACCCTTATACGGCGTTTTAAGTACCGTAAACACTAACCCATCTTATACGATAAATTTTTATATGGTATTTTAAATACCTTAATACTGAGAGTATTTTATACAGTATAAGTACCGTAAACTTGCACAAAACTTTATACGGCGTTCTAAGTACCGTAAACACTATCCCATCTTATACGAGAAACATTTCTATATTTATCTATTTAATCTCTAATTTCTTTTGGGATGATTTTTTCTCTCTGTTTTATCTATTTCATCTATTAAAGTATTACGGTATTTTAATTACTGTAATACTCCTTCAACTTATTACCGTATTTAAATTATCGTAATGTTCTGTACGGTAAAAAGACTACCGTGAAGGTTATTTTTGTCCAAAAAAAATCAAAAATTGTGAAAAAGGGTATAGGTGAGGTTTTGAAAAAATTGAAGTTTTTTTTTAAAAATATAGGTATATTAACGATAATTTCCCTATTATCTATGGGTGTAGTTTTCATAAGGTTGCAACCTTAAACAATCCAATTAAGGCGCACCTTCAAAATTTATCATGATATATAATTTTGATATAAAATATTCTTAAGATTATCTCAAAATCTATTTTCATATTTAATTATAAAATTTTAAACTTAAAAAATGATTAAAATCAAGTAGATCTATAAACATATGAAAATATTTAAAATAGACGGTCTAGATAATGTGGTGTAAGATACACTATTTCTTAAACTCAAAATCATTTCTTTTCATAGTCATATATCTCGATATTGAGATGATCAATTAGAGGGCTTTTCAATATTAAAACAACATTTTTCGATGGATTTATGAGGTGCATCCATAGTTCTACATTTTAAGGTTGCAACCTTATGTAAACTTTTTCCATTATCTATTGGCCGTGGCATTTGTAGGAACTTTGTATTTGATCACTCTCTCTCTCTTAGCATGTCATCACTCTCTCTCATTAGTATGCGATCCATATCTATAAAGCATCCATCTTAAAGTAACATTCCAAATGTTTTCTCAATATAATTATTATTGTAAATTTTAAATTTTTTTATATTTATGATCTCATGTTAAAGATTATATATTCTCTAAAAATTAGGATCAAATTATATTTAAAGATATATAATTATTGCCAGGCCCTTATTTCTACAATATATGAGCTGGTGGCATGCTAACGGTATCCCATAATATTTGATGTCTCTCTAAAATTACACTTTATCCTTCTCAATGTTTGCAAAATCGAACCGGAACGGTTAACCGAACATGGGGTTGGGAGCGGTTTGAACCAGAAACCGGATTAACCTGTCAAGTAGACTTTTTTAAAAAAAATGAGTCAAAAACTCCCACAAAAATTTTTTTTTAAAAAAAACTAAAAATACTTAGACTAAATGTACAATATCTTATTACATATATTTATTTTACAAAAAAAAAATTGAAACAACTTTTTATAAAGTAATATTAGAATACTCTGGTCTTGTGTCTGAAAATAGCTTAGGATATTTTTTTTTAAGATATTTTTGTCATATAATATAGAAAAAACTTCCCATATTGATAAATATATATATATATAATTTACTAAGCAAAATGAAATTTTTTTTTTTTGAAAAATCAAGTTCTCAATGAGGGATGATTTGAAATTAAGATCTTTATATAACTCTCTCTCTATCTCTGGAATCAAGCCAGATCAGGATCGGCCAGTGACTGATTCCGAGTTAGTCGGACGATTTTGTAAAAATGGTTGATCTTATAAAAGTTATTTCCATAACATTCCAAAAACGTGATAGAGAATGAACAAAAAAAACAAATGAAGGAAAAGGAGAAGAACAAAGCACATATAAGACGGTGTAGTGTTTCATTAATCATAAGGCAACCATAATTTTTACATGCACTTTAAAAAACAAAATATCCCATTTTCATAATTACAAATATAAATATATCAACTTAAAAAAAAAAGATAACTAAAAAATTGAGCGACATTGTTATGCACTTATCAAAAAGAAGAATCAATTTCATCAAAAAATAATTTATCAAAGGAATAATTTTATTAAGCAAAATAAAAAAACGCTTCCCATATTCATCAAAAAAACGTAATTTTATTAAAAAATCATAATTCTATTAAAAATAATTTATTAAGAAAAATAGAAAAACACTTCTCAATTTTATCAAAAGACATAATTTTCTTCAACAAAATATCATTTTTAGAAAAATCAACTTTTCAAAAACCCAAAAACTGAAGCAACATTTCGAGCAAGAAACAGCCCTCAATGGTTGGATAATCGAAAAAATAAACCTACATGTATTGCAAAGGCTTCGATCATCTTTCAAACGCACCCAATATCATCAAAAAATATTCGCTATTTTTTAATTGAAGAAAATGCGGAAATTCGAGATCTATGAAATTTTCATTATATGATGCAACAAAAAAATTGATATAAAAAAATATACTCAATAATAAATAAGCATAATAATTTTATTTGAGCTATAAAACCTCAATTATTGAAATGCACAACTTAATTTGATAAAAAAACAAGCAATAAATGGACAAAAAATCCGTGTTTTTGGGTAGAACACAGGTTCTTGGAGCAGCAACCATTCGGGTTAAAATAAACCCTTTATTTTTTTATTTTATGATCAAATTAAAGTTGAATCTAGTAAATACTTTGAATAACAATCAAACCCCTCAACTTCTTGAAGAATCATTAGGTATTGAGGAGATTATTGAAAGAATGGCGGAAGTTTTCAAAAACCTAAAAAATCCGCCATTTCAATCCAAGAAACTCGTTTTTTTCAATGTTTAAATCCAAATTTATTGTTTTAGATTCATTATATAGTGATTTAAACCATTAAAACACGAAAAAACAAAACCAAATATTGCCGCAAACCGAATAAAAAATGGTAAATTTTCGATTCATAGTTTTCCTTCTACAAATAACGGTTTGAATTTTAAAATAACGACGTTATTTATAAGTTATTGTTATTTACCCTAAAACGCTGTTATAACGACAAACCAGTTCAGTAAGCTGAAAATCGGCCGGGTTTTAGAAAATATCGCCGAGTCGATATCGAATCGGTCGGTTTTTTTACCAATTTTTTTTTAAGATGAACGTCTATTGAGTAGTATCGCAAAACCGGCCTTAACCAGAATCGGTATCTTGCCGATGCCGATCTAACCGGCCTGTTCTGGTTTGGATCTTCCGGTTTTGTGAACAATGACCCTTCTCTCTGTGTTAATATTTAATCACTCTCACTCATCACTCAGAGTGTCTCTTAATATTTGATCTCTCTCGGTAAAACTACATTCTACACATCATCTCTCTCTCTTAAACTATGTCCTCCTTACATGTGAATATTTTGGTAAAAGGAATAGCCCAAAGACAAAGCCATGTTTGACAATGAGGATACTGAACACTCCAAAGTAATTGAGAATTATATTTCTTTTGTGGGTGCGGTTTGCATGAGGTTGCAATTTTAAACAATCAAATTAAGGCACGCCTTCAATTTTGGACATTGCCAAATATCCCAATTAGGAAGAGAAAAGATGAAAAGATTTAGAGAGAGAAAGAATATATAAATATTAAAAAAAATGAGAGAGAAGTAAGAGATAAATATATATAAAAAAAAAAGATAAATGTAATAAGGAGAGAGGGTTTTACCATATTATATGGCAAACTTTTTTTATATTTATCTATTTCATCTCTAATTTCTTTTTTGTGGATATATTCTTTCTCTCTGTTTATATTTATCTATTTCATCTCTAATTCGTTTTATATTTATCTATTCTTTCATTTTCTAATTATTTTTCATTTTTTCCCTTTTTTTTCTCTCATTCTTTTTTGTCTCTTCTTTCTCTCTATCATCTAAGTCTACAAGCTAATTTGGACACGGCCAAATATCCCAGATAGGGAGAGAAAAGATTTAGAGAGAGAAATAAGAGATAAACACGAGAGAAAAAAGACTTAGAGAGAGAAAGAAAAGATAAATATTAAAAAGAATTAGAGAAATAAGAGATAAACATAAAAAAAATAAAGATGAACGAGATAAATATAATAAGGAGAAAGGGTTTTACGACATTTTACGTGACGTATAACATGGTTAGTTTTTACGGTATTTAACATGTTGTAAAATTGGTTTTAGTTTTTACCGTACTTAAACTACCGTAATTGGCTTCACGGGTACTTAAAGTACCGCAATGCTAATTGAAGTCCCTGCGGTATTTTATTTTAAATACCGTATAAAATGATACACATTAAAGTATTACGGTATTTTAATTACTATAATACTCCTTCAACTTATTACAGTATTTAAATTACCATAATGTTCTTTACGGTAAAAAGACTACCGTGAAGGTTAGTTTTGTTGGGTTTATGTGGCCTTTAATGAAATGATACAGTAGAACATGAACTCAGTGGGAGTGTGGTCCCTTGTTGACCATATTAAGCAAACGATGGTTTGCTGATACCGATCCGTGTTTAACGATCTAGGCCAGTCGGTTGGAAAAAACCCATGTTACTTGAGCATGAAGAACAAATCGATGAGGGCCTTGATGAGGTTAGCCCTTGATGAGGTCGGAGAACATGCTCGAATGAGTGAGTTGAGGGATTGCGTGACCCTTGTGTGTGATAGTGGCCTACTGAGACGAGAGCCAAAACCTCATCCATGTTC